AAGGATGCACTGCTTCTTGATGAAATTCTGAAAAAAGCTGTTTAGCCTATCTCTTGATTTCTGAGAGTCACTGAGAACTCTACTTTTCATATGAACTCTTTTGTAAAAAAAGATTCAATCTTCTTCAGCCATTATCACAAAGAGCAATTTTAATTCAGCCTGCAGTATTATTTTAACGTCTGTCAGACATTACACTTAGGAAATATATTTATGCAACTTTTATAGCCATGTTTTGGACACATAGCACCTTCTCACAAAGTGTCAACGGTTTTTTGAAGTGAAATTTTGAAGGGAATATTTTGATAACGACGTATTTCGTATTATATTTTTTAACTTCCTCTATCAATCTAGCATGCAAACAGAAAAATGCAAGGTATAGTTGATGCTCTGGTAAACTCTATCTTAACGATGCGAAAATGGATTTAAAGCGATGTCTAAGTACTAAATGATATACGGGTGGTTCTCTCTGTACTCAACAAGAAAGACTCACTGAACCAATATTCACTTCAATTATCTGACAAAACCAAATTAAACATTTATTTCTTATCATAGAAATTCATTCGTTTATTTGATTAAACGTTCTAGGGAAAACAAACACATTGCAGCAACTCTTACTTATTTGGATCGATATTGAATTTTTGTACTCGATGATTTCCCCAATCGACGACATAGATATTCCCGTGTCGATCGAATGACAAACCGATGGGTGCATTGAGTTGGTTCGATTGTTCTCCACTACCGTTTCCACCAACAATGACACTTCCTTGTGTGGCTCCTTTAGGCCAACGCATGATTCGATCATTCCCAAAATCAGCCACATAGACAGTGCCCAATTGATCGACAACGACTCCTCGAGGAGATGACAATTGTGTAAGAGCATTTCCTTTTCCTTGACCACCAGCCACGACAATGCCTTGTTTTGCACCTTCCATCCATTTCATCACACGATGATTGTCCCAATCAGATATGTACACTGAATGATCTCGATCGACGAATACGTATTGTGGGTAATAGAGTTGATCGAGACGATTTCCACTTCCATTGCCACCTGCAACCACTGTTCCTTGAGATTCTCCTCTTCGATATCGTCTCACTTCATGTTTTCCAACATCAGTGACATAGAGAGATCCATTCTCGTCCATTGTCAAACCCCTACAATAGATGTTGGAGATGATTGTTTCTCCACTTGTCCCATTTCGACGAGGCCATCGAACCACTCTTCCATTCCAATAATCGCATATGATGAGACTATCTCTCTCTTTGTCGATAATCACATCATATGGGTTATTCAATTGATGATCTCCACTTCCTTGTCCATTTCCACCGGCAACCACTTGGCCACTCGTTGCACCTCGTTTCCATTCCACAATACGATGATTTGATTCATCAGCAACATAGATTGTTTGATCATCAGCAACACACAAACCATATGGGTATGAGAGTTGATTGATTCCATTGCCTTGTCGATTTCCTCCAGCTACAGTGATACCATTTTGTTGCCATCGAGCATTCGGATGAATGTTGGTGCTGGATGGAGAACGTAATGGATAGTCTAAAATAGAGACAAGAAAAATTATTAAAATAAGAGAGCGAAGTGTTTTATTCATAGAAATTGGATTTGCGAGAAGACGAGAAATAGTTTTTTAGTCAAACTCTTAACTTTGTCAGCAACAACTGTTTTAGTTTAAAATGGTACTTTGTTGAATTCAAAGTTATTCATTGTAATATTTTCAGTGAATCATCCATTATTGCTTTATTTCGCTCCCAGCTGTCATCGCTCCTGTTCTTTTCGAGCATAAATTACGGTGAAATAGACAGTTATGCTTATGATCTATTTTCTAGGACCGTAAGAATAAAGAATCTTTTCGTTGAAAACTGAATAATCATGTTAAACAAAGATCAATTCCACAGAGATTGCTGAAGAAGAACAGTACAATGCTACTTTTCATTTGCAATTCAAATATCTTACATTATTTCTGTTTTTTATTTGTCAACTAATTTTTATTGGATCGTCTTAGATAGTTGAAAAAGTACGAACTTATGTTATTTTTCATAGTGCTAACAATTATATTATCTTCAGAAAATGATCTTAGAAAGGAATTAATTACATTGGCCACTGAGTAGAGTGACTTTTTTACAGTTTATATACAGATCAAAATGGATCAACAATCCTACAAATTAGATCACGATGAGCAACGAATAAATCTGATTTATTCAGTTTCGCTTGATTTACGACATCGAAAGGTATTTGTCGAAAGTTTAATTTCTTTGACTCACATTCAGAGCCAATTATCCATTAGTCGTTAGAAGATATTCATCTAGTCATCTAGCTCAGTTTCTGAAACTTTTT